CACGCGCGCATAGTGCATTGCGCGCTCTCGTTTCGTGGGTTTTGTTATTATTGTTGGCAGCATTTTAGGCGCCATGTCGACGAGACAACAGGCGTTTCAGCTTTGGCTTTGGCTTTGGCTCTTTGGCTTCTTTGGCTCTTTTGGCTCTGGCCATTGGGGAGTGGGCGAAAAAGGTTTTCTCGCTCGAACTTTGTTACAACATTTTTCGACTTATTTTAGCGGCGAACTCCGCTCATTCACAGGCAGCTGCGCTTTCCACTTGCATTACGTATACGTCATGGCGCACTCGCTCTCCCTCTCTCTATCTCTCTGCCTGTCTCTGATTTTCTTGCTCTTTTCTCGTACAGTCGACAAAAATAGCAAATAGCATTTGCTTTTTTGCTGCTACACACACACACACAGCTATACTGGAACCTAACCTAACCTACACCATTTCACCCCGCACTTAACACCTCACCCCCTCAGTAGGATGCGCTGCTCAGCTGCGACTTGGCAACAGCCAAATCCTTTTTATGCTTTTGATTTTTTGACACTCGACGTGTTGTTGTTCTGGCGCTTGTTGTTTGTTTGTCATAGTTGTTGTTGCCGTTGTTGCTGCTGCTGCTGTTGTTTTTGTTGTTGTTGTTGAGTGTCTTAGTGTCAACATGCGTTGACTGTTTCAAGCTTATGTCCTGGCTTATGTGCCAGTTAGTAACAGGATGTAGCAACTTGGTACAGTTGTGTCTTATGCGTGTAAGTTGCTCTCCACGATCTGAACGTGATTTGCATGCAAGCATCTAGCTAAAGATTTATTGAACTTGCCTCGCATATGGAATTCTGTCAAACTTCTTTTCCCAATTTGCATAAACTGCAGCCATACTTAACGATAGAGTTTGTATTGCCTCTCAACTTGCCAAAGTTGCGAAATATGATGTAATAAATACGAAATACCTTAAGTGCTGCATTCCCTTGCAGCAGGGTCTGAGCTGGCAAAAAAGTTCAGTAACTGCCATTAAAGTGTCAGCTGCACCTAAATGTCTAAAGTGAAGAAATTAGGAGTATTATTAAAATAATCTATAAGGAACTGGGGATAGCTTGAAGGCTTCAACTTAAAATGCAACTGGATTGAACTTTCTAGACTATGGCTATGAAATGCAATCATATACATGTTAGACCAAAGTTTCGTTATTCATTAACCTTTACCTTGTTTAATCTCACGTAGCTCGTCAAAAAGTTTTATCTTTTATTTGTTACCTCCTTGCAGTCAAAATGTGTTTTACAACTTTGTTTTTTGGTAAATTAAAAATGAGATTCACACACGCACACACATTATTTTTTTGTTAAATGATAAATGTAAATTCAACTTCTCAAATTAATTTCCTGTTATGGTTTCTCGCAAAAGTTTCAAAATAAGTATAATAATTATAATTTCAAATGGAATTTTGGTTATTAACTTAAAGTTCTGCATTTAATTTATTGCCCCTCATTTTGTTGTTAGCTTTTCTTATTTATTTCAAGATAACTATAAGGCTCTATTTTGTTTATTTCTATCATATATAATGGTTAATTATTGTTTATATAACCTACCTATAAACTAATGGATTTTGACAATTATTTAATGGGGCAACAATGAATCTTTGTAGCAAATACAAATAAATATTTTGTTATTTATTTATCACCTGCCTTAAATATTTATTTATATAAATTTGAAATACTCTGTTTTTTAATAATTATTTATTAGCAACTGTAACAAACATTGTTATGTGTGCACAAATTGTTAACAAAGCCAGTTTTGACAACATTTTATTGCCTACCTGTAGACCCAGTGCTTGCAGTTTTCTTCGTATACCTGAACGATTGCTGCAAGCCAGCTGAACTGCAATTGCAGCACAAATAAAAATACGAGGAAACTTGTGCGCGCTTATTTCGATTTATCGCACATGCCATGGGCGCCAGAGGTGTACGATGAGGAGGAGGTGGGGGAAGAGATGGAGGAGGGGGCAGAGGCAAACAAGCGCAAAAATCAATTTAAAGTTCAATAGCCTCGCTTGGCCCATAAGAAGAGAACTGAAAAAAAAAGAAATAGAAAAACAAGGCAAATAGAATGGGAAAGAGCGCGTCCAAAATTTTAGCCATGTTACAAGTTGCAAGTTGTGCACCCACTCAAGCTCTTGCCACCCTCTCTGTCTCTCTCCCTCTCGCAACCGCAGTCCCTTCCTGGCTCTTTCTCTCTCTCTCTCTCTCTCTGCTATGCTCCATTGTTGTGTGTGTGTTGTGCGCTGCACAGTTACTTGTGTGTAAAATTAAGTTCAAAGTACAAAATGTGGGTTGTCGACAACTGCAATGGCTCGAATAGCTCGCTCTGCCTTGCCTCGCCTCTTTACGTTTTCACTGAACTGCAATGTAAATGGCACAACAGCAATGCAGTCAGCATTATACTAACCACAAAAAATAATGCCCATAAAACTAATGGGCGAAGCACACAAAAATTGTTTTGGGTCAACGTTGCGTATACGCAATGCGCCTTAATTCTTGCATATGCAAATGCTGTGCGGCAATTGCAATCGAGACATGCGAAATCAGCATAAATGGGAGCTCTTCGCCACGCGCGGGTTACGTGGGCGTGGCATTTGATGCAGCCAAACGTGCCCAAGTATCCATTGACGCAATTAAATGCGCTGGCGTCGACCGCGAAGCGCATTGATAAATGGCAATCGGCGACGCCGTTGGCGGCAACATTGTCATCGTCATCGTCATCGTGTTCATCATCATCATCATTATTATTCTCATCGTTTGGGGCTTTTCAAAATGCAAATGGCTCTTTGGCACGCCAGGGGCTTTCGGCTCATAGCGAACGAAACGCGCCCTCCCACTCCCGCCTATCTGCACCCGGCACAATGTGCCTAACGAGGCGTTGGGCGTCTCAACTTTTTGCACCTGCCTCTCATCAATTGATTTCATGCTGACAGCAGACAACTGAGAACATGATGCCGACTTCATTTGGTAGACATACAAAATAACAACAAGACAGCTGGGCAACTGGCAGCGGGTTGCGCCATCATCTTGGCGGGCGTGCGCTTAGGGGAGAGGGACCGTCTGCTTAACAATTGAGTGTCAAGTTGCGCGCATTGCTTATGCACTTTTTTGCAGCTGCTGTCGTTGTCGCCGCTGCTGCTGCTGCTGCTGCTGCTGCTGTTGTTGTTGCTGTTTTTGTAATGCGCATTAATGTGCTGCAAGGTGATTCAGCAAATATGCAACTGCTAATGGGGAGTCGCAATATCTTGCCGACAACTTGAGTACAACTCGGGACTTGCGGCTGACAAGTGTTGAAGGGCAGGCACTTAGTTTGCATTGTTGTGCTTATGGCTGTATATGTCTGTGTGTACCAGGTACTTGTGCAGAGCCACATTAATGAATGGGCGTGTTGTAAACTACAGCTGTCATGACTGGTGTGTAAAAGTGTTGCCTACTTTTCCGGGCGTGTGAATGAAATATGCAAACGCAGCAAATATTTCAACTGCCAGCTTGCGTATTGTATTTCGTGCAAGTCCTTATGAAATGACGCTCAAGAACGAACTTATAGATCAATGCAGCAGAGACTGAGAGTTTACAAGCCCGCCTGTAACTATAAAAGGCTTAAATAGGTAGAAATTAAATTAATACATATCAAATTTGCACAAGTTAATCAGATCTGTGCGATTTATATTAATTTCAAGAAAACTTCTGTAACACCAATTACTCGATAAATTAACAACATTTAAGTTAATCTGATTACAAATAGATTACAAATAAAACAATTAAATACGCTTTTTAAATAATCTGATAAAGAAGTAAACCTGAAAAAGCAGCAATAATATTAAATGCGAATGATTGCCAGGCTCCATTTAACGTTTGTTCAACTGAACATAAAACAAAAAGTCTGCTAAATGCTTATCAAATGAATATGCTGTTAACATCATCAGAAACAGCACACAAAAAATATTACTGAGCGGCTATGAATGAATTTCATTTGGTAAAATTGTAAATGCGAAACACAACAATGTGCCAACAATCCATGTGTCTGCACACTTTGGGCAAAAAGTGCAGTAAAATTTTTTCCAATTGCTGCTACAAAAATAGCGCAGCTAAATTGCAAAAACTAGCGTGGAAAAAAACTAGAGGGGACGTTGGAAGGGAGGGGAGGGGGCAGAGCTGGGGTATAAGGAGGCAGAGGTAAACCTATATGGGCAACTTCAACAAATCTCAATACGCAAACATGTAGCCAGGAGCAACAATGGCAAGAGTGGCAACAAAAACAACATGCACATGTATGTGTGCGTGCGTGCGTATGTGTGTGGCAGAATGGCTGAAACTAAACCGGAGGCGCCAACATGTCCTACAAGTGATTTATTTTTATGTATTTGTTTGTAGAGAGAAAAAAAAAAAAAAAAACACCGTCGAGAAAATGCCACAAAAAATAAAGTTTTCTTGTTGTTGCTGTTATTGCTGCTGCGTCGATGCAAGCTTAGACCGGCTCGCCTATCCTGTAAACGGCAATGGGTATCCTGCGAGCACAGAAAGTAGTAAAGTAGCAAGCGTGCAACTATTTATAACAGCGTGAGCCGCTAAGCGGTAACATCGACAGGGGGTATATGAGGAGGATACACAAACAAAATGTCAAAAACAGAAAGAGAGCGCCGGAGAACGAGAGACAGAGAGAGCATACTTTTATGCGGGTGTCGTTGCAACTTGCAACATTTAGACGCAAATCATGGCGGACATTAGCGTGCGCAAAGTTTTGCCTCGCAAGTTGAACGATTTATGTGGAAAGTTGTTACCTGAGCAGCGTGTAGGAGGGTGGGCTCGGGATAGCTGCCGCAACATTATGAATAAAACTATTTTGACTAACTGTGCAAACTGTTTCATTTTGTGTTTATATGTTTGTTGTCGGGATAGCTGCCGCAACATTATGAATATAACTATTTTGACTAACTGTGCAACCTGTTTCATTTCGTGTTTATATGTTTGTTGTGCCTTTGCAGAGTGCCCCACCGCAATGGATGGCATGGAACGCTTCGCATGCCCCACACCGGATCTGCAGGGACGCTATCGTTGCATAGATGATCATGTGCTTTGCGATGGCTTCATCGATTGCCCGGAGGGCGAGGATGAGGACCGAAGATCCTGCATGTTCTACAAGACGGTAAGCACAACAGATCCCAAACCCTGTCTATCTCCAAAAATGTTCTCAAATAATGCTCTTTCTGCTTGGACTCTTTTTTCTCAATTCCAGACGAAAGCTCATTTGGATGTGTTAGCAGATGCGTTACTACGCTGGGCGCGGGGGCGTTAAGTCCACACAAAACCCGCACACGAAGACACCTTGATAAACACACATACACACACACACACACTTGATTAAAAAAACAAACACACCTAGAGAACCCACATTAAAAATAAATTACAATTAGTTTTATGCTAAATATTTAACATTAATCGTGCAAACCTATTAAGTTTAAACATGGACAGGCACAAAACTCACACACACACACACACACACACACACACACATACTCACACACATACTAACCACTCCGCCTGCCCACACCCTCAAAAGTAAAAAAAGTATTGAACAAATTGCAAAGTTGTGGTATGTAAAAATCCAAGTAAAACAAGTACTAATAATGGCAACAAATATTTAAAAAAAAAACATATGATTTGATCTATTATTACACTATTATGAATTAAAACAGAAAATAAAACAAACAAAAAAACTACCAATCAAGAACTATTCAAAAGATAAACAAAAGATTTCTAAAATGGCGTTAAATTTTCGAAAAGTAAAAAAAAAACACAAGTGGAAAATTTTGTCGCAAAAAACTTGCCCCAGATGGTTTTCTTTTATTGTTTTGCGCATCAAATCGGGCCTAAGCTATTTTTAGTATATATATTAAAAAGTATTCAAAATATATTAAAAAAATAAATATATATATATATATATATATATATATATATATACATATACGTATGTGAATACATACAATACAGTTTGTATTTAAATATATATATATATATACATATATATATATATATATATATATATATATATAAATATATATATGTTCGTGTACATTATTTAAACATACGTGTATTAAAGTTTAAATGTTCATGCAACAAAAACAAAAGTAAATCAATAAAAGCGAAAGAGATGAAAATATTGAAAATAAATCAAAAAATGCGTACATGAGCGAGCTGAAGTGCTGACAGTAGGGGAAGAGCAAAAGGGTTATATATACATATACAAATGAAATGATAAAAAACGAAAAACAAAAAAAATTCAAAACAAAATATGAAAATGCAGACATTAATTATATATAGTAAATATATACATATAACAAATAAATATACAATTTAAAATTGACATAGGTTTTATTGCAATGATAATGCTGATAATATGAACACGAATGCGATTGCGTATGCCACAGATAACTGATTAACGATTATCATTCGATTGATAATGTCGATAACTAACAATGCCGTAGGTCTACGCATGTCTGAATGATATATAAAAAAAAAAAAAACAATATATATATATATATATATATATATATGAAAGAAAGAGCAGGAAAACATTTACAAACTAATACAATGAAGGTATAACATTTACATAACAAAAAGACTTGACTTGATTTTACTTATTATGTTTGATAGTTGAGGTTTTTTAATTTATTACGTATTATGCGTATTATGCATTTAATTTACAATTATTATGCTAAAGAGCTTTTCCACCTTCAAGATATTTTGTATTTAATTCTTACCATTTATGTGCTGTGGCTAAACTTTTTCATCGGTATGTAGAAATCATTTTTGACTCATTTTGTACATTAGTTGCTTGCTGTTTCGTATATTTCGTCTAAGTAAGTAAATTTTATCTCACCTTATGATTTCTTCATATATGAAACAGTTCTCATGGAAATGGCAGCTATTCGTAGTTAAGAAAATTTATTTAAATCAAGTATATTTAACTAACAATGGACTTATAAATAAATAACGAAACAAAACCCTTAAAATGTATACAAAAAAAACAAAAAAAAAAAAAAACAAAACTTATATTATTTAGTTAAAGCCCTGTAAAAACGCTAACAACAAAAAACAAATTCGACATAAAAAATCAAAATATATTCATTTCGTACTGACTTCGCCATTTTACTCCGCTGATTTTTGTTCCCCCCGCTATGAGATGAGCGCAAATACAACCGTTGACTGTGCTAAAAAACTATAAAATATAAATATACAAATGACAAACAAACAAATGACAAAAGTAAAATTTTTAATATTGCAATATTGTTATTATGCATACGGAGTTACAACAAACAATCAATTAAGAAAACAATCAAGCAAATTTTTAAACATAAAAAAAAAATCGAAAAAAAAATGTTGAGACGGTTGTGTATGCGGCACGGTAACAAATTAATAACAATTAAACAATAATAAAAAAAAAAAACAAATAATAATTTATAAAAATTCGAATGCTTAAAATAAAAGTCTATTAACGTGTTTTGGGAGCTATTCAAACGTATTCTCGTCTTTATTTTATAAAACCTTCAATGCCAACTTTTATGTAATAAATAAAAGAAAAAAAACAAAAAAAAAAAAAACTACATCAAAATTATATATGAAATAACATATGAAATTGCGAGCAATAAAATTTCATATCTTATACACAGTACGTATAAAATGCAAGTAATTATAATCAATTAAACAAGTCTTTATCGATAAGATTTACTTTATGATTTTCTTATGTGCTGACACGCAGCTCAAATGCGCAAAAAAATGCAATTTACAAAACAAAACAAAAATAAGTTAAATATAAATATGAATATAAATATAAATAACTAAATAAAAAGCATCTCCCGAAAACAAGGCCCCGGTCTGAGTGCTCTGTGTCCCTGCGATAAGAACGATCTTCGTTGAAAATATGAAATACTAAAAGCCAATGTTCGTAATCTAAATAAAAACAAATCGTTTTGGGTTTCCTTTTCTCATTTCATTTCAATTAACTTTTTGATTTACTATATTCTATTAATAACTGCAAAATAACCCACCTTTAAATATTAAAGATAATATTAATAACAAATAATATAAACGATTTCTATACCGGTGTAATAACTCTACATAAATGTTGCTTACTACGAAAAACAAAAGCGAGGAAATTAAATAAGATGTATAAAACTATAAGGAAATTAAAACAAAAACAAAATATATATATATATATGCATATTATCCTTGCAAACATTACACACAAAACCAAAACAAAATAAAATTAAACAAATCCTTAAACCCAAATAAAAGCGCACTAACAAAAAAAGAAAAAAAGAAAGAAAAACAACCGAGGACAACAAAACCGAAAACAAATCAAAGTAAACCAAATGCAAAGCGACAGATGAAAATTTTAATGACATTTTTGAATGAGAATTGAAATGAACGGAAAATATACATATACATCTATTTTTGGCCTATTTTTCTATAACCGAAACATGAGAGGAAAAAAAACAAAAAACAACTTTTTAAACTGCAACAAAAAGCGAACAAATTTAAAAACTTTTATAACATGAAATAGAGCAACAAATATCGACCGTTATTTTGGTGTGCGTTAATGTAAATACACATAAGTTAATTCCTTTCGATATGTGTCTCTTATGGATATATTCACTTGATTCTTATATTTGCTAACCTTGATTTGTCTTAGTTGTTTTTAAACTTAACGAAGATCGTTTCATTATTTTGCGATTTTTTTACTTGACTTCTTTTAGGCTGCCAACAAAACGGCAACCGAATTGTGTGTAAAAATTTGTATATAAACGTTATTAACGAAATATCAATGAAAATCAATTTGGGTTTTATGTGTTTAGTTATTTGTTTCCATTTTTGCGACAAGAATTTTACATTAACATCCCGTTTTATTTAAGTACAACTACATAATAAACGTATTTAATTTAAGCATAGCGAAAGTAAAAACGTAAACCTAGCCAAAAACAAAACAAAATTAAACACAAAAATAATTGAAAAGGAAAAAAAAAAACAAAATAGTTTCTTGAACATAAACCATGCAAGTATGATAACAGATAATTGTTAAATGTTTAAAGTAAAACACATATACAAATGCATAGGCAAAACACCCAGACACAAACACACACATTTACACACATACACACTAGAAATATACACACATACGTACACATATATACAGTTTAAGTATATGCAACACTCATACAATACAGTGAGAGTCAATATGCAATGAAAAATGAATGAAGAAAACATTTAAAAAATAGATAACACAACTTGTATTTATTTGTATTTGTATATTTAAATGAAAAACCCAACAAGAAAGGAAAACGAAAATGAAAATGAACTCTCACTAAGTATTAATGTAGCAAATGGCCTAATATTGAATGCCATTCGCACAATTTTTTAACAACCTAATTACAATTGAAAAAACAAAATAAAACAAAAACTAAGTTCAATTCGAATTCTAATTTTAATATATTTGTACTTTGTATTTAAAGTTGTATTTGCTGTACATAAGTTTAGCCTGCCTCTCTCTCTCTCCTTTTCCCCCCTCTATGTTAAATCTATGATTTAGAAAGCAACTAGTTGACGTTGATTAAGATAATTATGATCACGATGATGATGATGTATAATGTACGCATTTTTTGCGGCCATTTTTTTAGTATAATTATAATTCCATTATAATTTACTGTTTACATATTAAATATATTAATAAATTATATATATACGAATATTATATAATACAGAAAAACGAAAACAAAAACAAAACAAAACACAAAAAGCAAACAAAAAACTATACATGAAGATGAAGAAAACAAATACACAACTTAATATACACTGAAAACAAAACAAACTATGCATTTCTGATTTCCTATCTATATACACACACACACACACACTCTCTCTCTCTCTCTCTCTGTCTCTCTCTCTTTCTCTTTCCCACAACAGATGAGTTATAACTATATTATAATTTTGAATAGTTTTTTTATTGTTGCATTTTCTTCAATTAGTTCTCTTATGGAATCTTCATTTCCGATCAGAGATCTGTTGTTGAAAACTAGCTTTGAATTATTTTTCAACAGCTTAAAACTGTTTCCATTTAATTCGTTTGTTTTACTTAAGAATCATGAATCACTTTCCCTTAGCTTTCTAATCTATAACTCGCTACTGCTCCAAAAGACAAAGTCTCTCTACAACAACAACAACAACAACAACAACAACAACAACTACAACGCAAACAAAAACTACTTAACACAGCACATGGTTACAACTGTTGCAAGCACTACGCATACAGTAAGTTCTCATTATAAACTACCTATATATTTATATATTTATATATATTTTAAGGTAGCCCGTTTTTTCACATAATTTTTTTTATTTGGTTTCTTCTCTTTTTGCTTGTTTTTGGCTGCCTGGCAAGAAATATCTGTTCAAGTTAAATAGCCAAACTTTACACTCAAGTTGCGCTTTGAAGTATCACTTTAGCTTTTTAACCTTCTTGTAGTTATGCAAACAGTTGAAGTGCAATTCAAAACTCAAAGCTTAGCTAATTCTAAAAGCAACTTTCCATGTATTCAAGGAATCCTCTGCGGCGAGCTGCGTTTTCCGAGTCAGTCTGTTTAAGCCAAAGGCAGCA